CTTGCTGATCATGTTGGGTGACTTACATCTCCAAGATGGCCTGAAATGCAGGCTCTTCCGGCTGAGCTTCCCAAAACTGGGTTCCACTAGCAATGGATTCCACGTCCCAAAGGGCTTCTTCCTCTTCACTCTCATATTCTGGGGCCTCTGCTCCTATTAGCCCTCTATGCCAGCCTCCATGGGACCAGTCGTCTTCCAGAATTTCATAGATTTCTGGCCATCTCAGCCTAGGATCATCTGGTAAGGTAGGTCTGAAGACATCCCTAGTGGCATTTCCCTAGTCACCCCTTTCACCGTCACCTGGACTTTCCACCTGGGGTATATACAGGCCTGCCCATGAAGGCAAAACATCTTAATTGGGTTAACTTCAGTACCTTCTTTTTGAGGAACCAGGTCATCCTTGATCAACGTCTGCTCGCACCCTGTGTCAAGAATGGCATGAACTGCTCACCTTGCCACCACTGGCACCACCGTGGGTTTATCTCATTGGATGGCTTCCTTCATACTGCCCATGCTCCAGTCCATCATCTCTACTGGTGGGAGTTCTTGTAGTATGGGATGGCTACTTTGGCTGTTTCTCTGCCCCTCCAGTTCTGGGGCCATGAGCCGCAGATTCATCATGCTCTCTCGTGCGAAGTGACCACTCTTCCCACAACGGAAATAAGTTGCTCCCGGCAGTGGGACCTGGCTGGGCATCTTATTCTCCCTATCCCCTCACCTCTCACTTGGTCTGGTGCTCACTGAGGCCCCCGGCCTGTCCCCCTTTTCCCAAGGAGTCTTATTCTGTCTACTATCAAAATCTTCTGCCAACTGCAGGGCCTCCTGCAATGCTTTGGGGCAATGTTGCTGCACCCACATTTGTGTATTCTCCTCCAAGTCCATGAGGAACTGGCCCAACAGGAAGGCATCCATGATCTCCTCCCAGGACGCCCGAGCCAGCTGGATCTGTCGTTCCTGGAGGTCTGCTAATTTCTGGAAGAGGACCCTTCCTCCTTCTTCTTTTGTGCATGGAACATCTGGCAGTAGTGTTCAGTAGTAATGTCCAGGTGGTATAAGATCTGCTCCTTTACATGGTCATAGTCTTGGGCTGCGAGGCATGACCACTCTCTACAGGCTGCCTGTGCAGGACCCACCAGCCACAAACACTCCAAGTTTCACAGCCCATCTGGATTTGTCCAGGCCTCCAGCCATCACAGCCCACTTGAAGCTTTCCAGGACTGCTTTGGGGTCATCATCAGCCATCATCTTCAGGATCCTCAAGTCCACCAGGTTCTGACTCATCAATTCCTGTTGCTTCATCATCTGCTCATCTAAGGCCATCCATCTATTTGCTGTTATTGCAAGATCTGTGTGACCAGATTCAGGGTCTACTGCATGGCCTCCATCCCCGCCATTGGCTCTGCCCAGGTTTCTATTGCCTGGCTCAGCCCTGTGGTATGTTCTTTATTTCTAGTCAATGCACCAAATTGTCACTGGTAGGTGTTGTAGGGTCTTTGCACCCTCTTTGTGGGTACCGTGCCCCCAGCGATGTCAGGGTGAGACCATGTCTCAGTGCCACATAGATGATTCAGGAGCTGCCCTTTCTCTCCTGCCATGTCTTTGATGTTGTTGTTGGGGAGGCAGTTCCCTGTTGGCAACCTGAGGGGGGTCTTATCCTTGGGGTGTCTTCATGGGGGTCCAAACCTTCCCTTTACCCCACCCTTACCACGTCCTCAGCCTGGGTAGACACTGCTCTGCAGAGGTCTCCAGTGCTGCCTGCCTTGGAAAGGATGGGCCTTTCTGGCCGTCAATCTTTGGGGACCCGCCCCTCATCTCTGGGTTGGTTTACCCTCTTTGGGAGAACTCAATTTGCCTTATCTGGGGCTAACGGTAACTTAAACTGAACATCTGGCTCATGCTGGTGGGGCTCCTGAGATTCCCTCTCTCAGGGCCGTTGATCCTTTGGGGATACTCGTCTGCTCCCTTTCCTCCTAGTAGACATGGGTATAGGCAATTGTCCTGTGCCCAGGCTCTACCTGTTCTGCTGGTGTCACCTCCTTGGGGCCCAGCTGACCTGTGATCCAGTCTTCCTGGTTCTTCTAGTCAGTGTCCCCTCCTTCCTCCTTCTAGGGGCTCATGATCCCCTGTGCTCTGCCTGCTGTGGGCCTGTGGGTGCCTGAAAGCTGGAGGAGGCATCCCCAACTACAGTGCCCAAGCCCCTGTTTGGAGTCTTGTGGCTCCCTGGCAGCATCCCATGTAGAGGTTGCCCCTCCATGGGGCTCCCTTGCTCCTGCTGGTCCCCAAGACTGCCTTTTTCCTCCCTGGTTGGGGTCCTCTGGCAGTTGCCCGGCTCCTTGCTGAGGCAGCTGGAGTTGGAGCCTGCTAGCTCCGCAGCCAGTGTTTCACAGCTGGTGTTCTGCTCCTGGCTTCCCAGCCCCTCCCCAGCTGTTTCCCCTGCTGCCTTTTGAGCAGCCCATGCTGCTCGGAAGCCATGCCCCCAGCCTTCACTGATACACAGGCTCAGGCAGCTGCAGAACTGCCAAGCCTACGCTTGCATTTCCTCCTGGCTGCTGCTTGTCCCAGCTCCTAAGGTAAGTGCGGGGGTGCATTGGTCAGGGGTCTGGGCCTCTTTGCGGGGGATTCCACCTCCCCTCTTACAGACAGCCATTGGAATTCAGGTCCATTTAGGGTCCCCGTGGGGGCTTGCAATACCTGTGGCCCCAGACTACCCAAAGGGCTAGACCCAGGACAGGCCAGCCCACTTAGACTGGGCTCATAGAAGGAGGCAAAACCTAAAGAGTCCTGACTGCCTCAGGAAAGACATCTGAGGTACACTACTGGACCAAAGTGAAGCATAAAGTAAGCAAGGACAACATCATTTAAGTTATATTAGTTTATGAATTTCCTTCCGTCCCGCATCCATCTGCCTAACAAACTAAGGTAGATGCCTAGTGAGAACAGGAGTCTACTTTGATCACCGACAGAACAGCCAAGTGGAAAGGGGTGGGGCATAGGGGAGGTGGAGCCCTACAGAAGACTCTTGGACATCGTGACCCGCACTGTCTCAATGAACCCTAGATTATTAAGTACCACCACTTGAAATCTTTTTCAGTTACACCAAGTCATGGTGGGTGAGATACAATAACAAGAGAATTAGACACCTGTTGAGCGTACAGTGCCTGGGCCTCAGCCTGGTGTGGCTGCTCAGTCTGGGTTCCTCTACAGATGTCTAAAGTAGAAAATTATGTGTTTTTCCATATTATAAATTTGAAGCAAACTGCCAAACCAAATGTAGTTGAAGGAGCCATAAGGAGCTGGAGGTACTACTTAACAAGAGGGGAATTCATTCCTTAAGATCCAGATGTGGGCAGGTATTGCCATGGCTGGATTTTTCCCTTCCATGCAGAAGGAGAGAGCCATCCATTACTGATACATCATTTTCCCTTTTTCTTGAACTCACAGAGAACCCACTTTGGGAACAAGAATGAGCATGTCAGGAGGGATATGGCCATCTTCCTTCTCCTGAGTATGTACTAGCAAACTTGCAGTAAAGTCAACAGAACTATGTTGATTTACAGTGGATAAGGATCTGGCCCATTATGGCTAGCTTTAAGTTTTTCAGTACAGTCCTGTATTAAATGTAGGCAATTTAGAACAAGGGGCCAAAGGCAAACAAAACATTTGGAGACTTTGATCAGTGGGAAAAAAATTATAAAAGTATCTTTTGAACTGAATCAAGCATGAGGCAAGAGACATAAATGGGTTTAAAATATAGGGAAGAAGGTTTTTAGTACTCTGTAATCCTGAACTCTACATGCCCATTCCTGAGCTAAAAAGGCAGATCATGCTTAGCTAGATAAAATATATATGAAATAATCTGAGCCATGACTATTTGAAGGACGTCATGGGAAAGGGAGCAGAGACATCAGGTTTCTCTCACCTCTTATCAGAACTCCACTTAAGTGTAAATTGGCACCAGTGGCGATGTGTAGGGGATGCACGGGGGTGCACATGCACCCCCTGAGAGCATTGGTGCACCCCTTGACATGCCATGCTCTCCGTTTAGGTGATGGGCAGGGGGGGCAGTCAGGAGTGCTGGTTCCCCCCTGTGAGCCCTGGCTGGGGAATTGGAGTGCCGTGGCCACTTTTGGGAGCACGATCGGCCATGGGGGTAACCCCCTGGTCAGCAAGATTGGCCATGGGGGGACCACACCCCCGTCAGTGAGATTGGCCCTCCCCTGGTTGCTGACTGGTGACTAAGGTGGCACCAGTCGCCCATGACTGGCACAATGGGAGGAGAAGTATGACCATCATTTGGGTTAGGCTAGGGAGTGGGGTGAGTGAGTAAGAGATGATGATTATAGTCTAAACTTTCCAGGACATATTTCTTATAAGGGGATCTGATGTAATTGCACACGATCCACTCATTAAACTGAACACATGCAGGATCCAATCACTTTTTATTAGTTTCTTTTTCTTAAAGTATGCCAGCCAGGATTAACATATTGGCCCAATTAATATGTACACGGCAGTGCTCTAAAGGGAATCCTCTATTAGCAGGCCTATAAACTAGACTTATAACTTCTGATTTATGTGATACTAATATAAATATGTGGATATGACAAGGCAAATCTACAGTTCTCTTTCCAATGAGTATGCTAACTCCAACCTTGTGAGTTTCAATCACAATTTCTGCACTTTTATGAATATTATGCAATTACATTTCTTATATTTGAGTGATAATCTGACATATATTCCTATAATTTCTTGTTTTGAAATCTAATTCCTATTTTTCAATTTTTTTAATACATTTTCTTGTGAAAATGTACTGTCATTGTGGCTATTTTGCCATCTTCCTTCCGGGCAACCTGGTATTGACATTGCAAAAAACAGCTAATGAAAACTTCTCTCTGTTGTAACTTGTCCTACTTCTGACAGCCTTGTAAACTGACACTTTCACATTTACCTCAGTGGGTTGGGCCTTTTGGAAACATTTTTTCATCGTCCCAGATTAGGAAATCCTAGAAAACAAATGTATCTTTGGAAAGGCTTGGGTATCATCGATATCACTCAGTTAAGTGACTTTTGAGATAAAATATTAATTTGATTTAAACAAACTCAGGAGCAATTCAAAGTCAAGTGAACCTGTCGATCAGGTGAGCACGAAAAGGCTGTAGTCAAGCTGCAAATAACAAGCATGGGAATACTTTATTCAGAGGTATGTGACCATTTCCTTCATAGTATATGAAGCTGTAGACAATACAGAAAAAAATGGTATTTGGATTTATTTCACAGGATTTTGTTTTAATTGAAAACTCTACTTCACTAAAAGTAAAACATTCAGTGTGTGGCCAAAGATACTATTTGTAATAATTAATAGAATGATTATATATGAGTTCTAGCGACTTCAGTGAGAAAGGTGTGAAGGGGTTTAGAAGCAAGGTGTAAACTAGTTTTGGGTAGAAGCATGTTAGATATTGGAAAGGTGTACTTCAGCTTGGGTTGAAACAAGCTAGTAAAAACTACTGCATTAATGAACAAATTTGGCTCTCAGGGCCAATATTTTTATCAGCAAGGTGATTTTTCTTTTCAATCCTAAATCCATGCATCTTCCTAGAGTCTAGCCTGGAAAATGGGTGCCTAGGTTTAAACAAGAACATTGCATTAAACATGCATCCACATAGTCTCTATTATTAAAGAGGAAAATCAGAATCTCTCCTTTGCTCCCTGTGCTATGATTATAACACACTGGTGTTTCGTCTTTAGGATGTATCAACATGCCTATGTATAATTCTTTAAAAAAATTATATTCGAACACTGAAAACCAATAAGGTTTTATTTTTAATTAAAGGGCTATAACAAATAAAATGAATATTTGATTTCATCATTATATGTAACTGAGTTCCATGTGCTCATGATCTAACTATCTGGTTAAACTGCATTCCATTGTAAAAGGAATTGTTGATGCCTGTCTAAACATCACAGAGTACTTTATGTAAACAAAGTGGCATAATGTCTTAAGATATTTAGTTAAAGTGAAGTGGTGAGGCATAGGGGTTTCACGGGGGTGCATGTACACCCCCTGAGAGTGCCGGTGCACCCCCTGGCTGGCTGTGCTCACCACTTAGGCAATGGGCAGGGGGGGTAGGTGGGAGCACCAGTGCCCCACCTGCAAGTGCCGGCCCATCACTGCAGCCACTCCTAGAAGCAGCTGGATCGCTGCAGCTGCTCCCAGAAGTAGCGAGATCGACTGCGGGGGAACCCCTCCCACCCACCAGTCTGCGTGACTGGTTGCAGGGGGGGCACACGCCCCTTCCTGACTAAGGTGGCACCAGTAGCCCATGTTAAGGTGATAAGATAATTTTGTCCCTATTTTTGCATACTTTTTAGATATTTTACCTTTCAGTGACCATTTTACCCATTTTTTTGAGGAAGTAATTTTCTTCAAAATGTATGGCTACATAACTGTATTAGCTGTAATTGCAATAACAAGTTATAACTGCTGGACAGTTTGGATCCTGTCAAATTTTTTTGGACACTGCAAACATGACTGGATGAATTTTCTTTGTCTTTTTTCTCCCTTTTCAGCTTTGACTTTCTTCTCTTTTATTAATATCATCTCAACTTCAGTGTGATTTCTGGGCATAAGTTAATGCAAGAAAAAGTTCCTGGCATGGGCTGAGGTGTATGCTTTGTGAAGAAAGAAACCACTTTACAAGAGCAGAGATGGACTAATTGTTAGACATTTTTATAAATCCCTTCCTTACAATTTTGAAAGAAAACTAACTAGTTCTTTGTGGTGTGTACCATATTACAGCACTACTTGCACCTCTGTCCTCTCTTCCATGTCTAAGTGCACCAATTGTGTACCAGGCCTTGTGCCCTTACCTTTCCTGGGGCAGAATTCCATACTTCTCTCACTGGTAGACTGGACCTTGAGCTGAAGTATCTTCTGTATCAGCTGTGCTTACCCAGAGGATCCAATGGGGTATGAGCAACAGCAGCTTTTTCCTCTGGGAATCTGTGACCAGTGGTGAATATTACTCTAAGCCAAAATAGTTTTTACTTCAGGAAGCAGTGTAAGAGGAAAATAAGTTTAAAGGAACTATCTTACCTAAATCTTACCTTTCCCTAACTCTTTTATATTGTCTATAGGCCATTTTGGGTTCCTGGAGTATACTAGAGTGTGCTTAACATTCAGACCTTTTATTTACTACTCCATTTACTATTACTTTATATTTTATGTAAGGTACTGCTGTTAGATTGTTTTGTGCCCTGCCCTTAGGCATGCACATATCCAGTTGCTCCCATGAACTTCAACTGGAATTGCATAGATGTAACTGAGACCAGAGATGAGCATTTTTCTGCTAGATAGTAAGAGGCCATTAAATGATCTGCATGATCCAGTCCTATAAAAGAAAATAGTTAGTTAAGATTCCATATGTGAATACACAGAACTCTGATCTACATAATTTCATTAGTCTACATTAACTTTCCTTTACACACTAAAAGGTTGGTTAAATCTTTTCTAGTTTTGTTAATAATCTTCCCTAGACCAAATCATCCAAAATAACATGATTTACAGATATGATGCCAAATTAATTATCTATAATGTTTAGACTGTTTATGTTTTAACTGGTAAAAAAAGATGATGGTTATTTTAGAAAAACTGGTAGTGAGAGAGTCCATTAACTACGGAGAGCCAAATCAAATCCAACCCAGGCCTTAAGAATCAAAATGCATTGAGATTCTGGTAATGGTTCAGTTGTTTGGGTGGAAAGAGCTTGAGCCCAATCCTTTCTCCGGCAGACAGATGGAGATTAATTCACGACTTAGTCTTGAAGAACACAAGAACGCCAAAGTGACATTAGTTGAACCACCAAGTAAAAGTGACTGCAGTTAGACAACCAACAGGGTCTTAAGATATTAAGATACCACCTCCCGCATTGAAGGAGACCCCCTACTCAGGACTTAGAAATGCTACTGGAGCAACATGAGGAAGGCTTGCAGAACCATTGGTCTAGGCTGTACCTGTTCTGTAAAACAGAAATAATCTATTCCTGTAGTCACTATTTTGGAATCTTTTGCCAACATTCATTTAAAAACTTACTACTAAAGGTCAAACCGATGGCCTGTCTCTAGATGCAAATATTGTGTTAGGCCTCTTTATCTAATACCTTAAAAGCCACTAGTAAGGAATGCCTCAAAATGTACACTTATTCATACACAGAGTAAACAAAATATATCTTTGATTTTTGGAACAAGTTTTAGAAACAAATTGAAATTAAGACTACTGCATCTTTGTTAATCTTAATGCAGAAGGAGCTGTCAGATCAGCAACCCAGGTGATTGGAGTTATCTATCCCAAGAACAGCAATACTGAAAATTTCTTCACAATGGGACACTTCAAATGCTGATGCAGAAACTCCTCTCCCAGATGTAAGACAGTACAGCTCTTGTGTCTTCTAAGTTCACGACTCTAAGTCTGCCTATTCATGTGCTTTGGGGTGGGGAGCATTTTAATTAAAATAGTTCCTGAACAGCTGTTCTAATTAAAACACCTCATCATCACATGTATTAAGCCCCCGCGCATTTAAAAATGGCTGTGGGATCCCATTCAACAAGATTTAGATAAAGTGCCCCTGTGGCCATTTTAAAGCATGCCAGGGACTTAAATACACGTGATGGTGAGGTAATACCGGAGTGTTCTATTAATTGAGTCTGCTCTGACATGTTCTACTAGAATGCAAATGAGCAGTATATAGACAGCCTAAGGCACTATAGCTGTTATCAGCACTGATTTTCCATTAATGAAGGAGAAGTTGCAACCTTAATATTAAGACTTTAGCACTTTTCCCACAAGTTTCATGCCATAAACACTGACCTCAGAATCAGCCTGTTGTCTTTTGCTGCATAATTTTTTAAGAGACTGCAAGTGAAGAGCTAGCAAACCAGACTGTAGAGCTAAAGGAACATCCCCTCCTCAAGGAATATCACTTTCTAGTATTATTTGTATTAGGTGGAGTACTCCCTGCTTTTTTGTATAAACAGACCCACAGCTGTAAATGACAAGGTCTTGGACAAAATGTAGAAAAGTCTGAACAAAATAAACTTTAATTTTATGCAGCAGCAGTAATCCAACTCTCAATCTTTCCTGTTATGCAACCTGTTCCCTCCTTGCTCTAGTCATACTAGCTAGAGACAGACATTCAAAAAGCCTGAGCCTGAATTGATTCAATCTTTGCAGGTTAGTCTAACCTGCCTAGTTTGAACCAGTTTGCAACTGTTCAGACATTCCCTCTGGACTGAAGAAATGCAGGCATATGCCTGTAGTGGCTCAGGCTAGAAGCTGGGGGGGGCACTAAAGCAACCTTCCCTTCCCTTCCACAGTGCTGAGGTGAAGGCATGTGTGGCCAGGCCCCAGCAGGACATTCTGACTAGGGAGGGGTGTAATCCCCAGATGGCCTGCACCATCCCAGACTTTTCCCCGCTTTCTGCTCAAGGGGCAGGAGTGTTGCTAGACCCCAGCCCCTGGCTAGCACTGCCGGTGCAGTGCATGCATCTGTTCATGATAATGAGCTTTTCAATCTCCCTCTCCCTGTTTCGTCATACTGTCTGCAGCAAACCTGACAGGCAAGGGAGCCAGCAGGGAGCTGATAACATGAACAAAACGAAAGCCTTTCTTAGTAGTTCAAGCTCTTCTTAAACAGCTTTTTTCAAGGAAGGAATGGAGGTACATTACCAGCTGACCTGTTGATTAGCTCCAAAAAGCCCTAAGTGGACACTGTTCTTCCTGCCTGTCTCAGTGAAATTGGATATACACACGCACAGACACCTCTCAGCATTAGCTACCATACCACATGTCTAGGGTTGAATCAGCTATTAGATAAAAGCACCAAAAAACCCTACTGAAATGCCTGATCTATACAGATGCTGCAGAGCCAGGTCTAAGTAATGTGCTACTGCTTCTGGTAAAGTGAGTTCTCCCCCACCCCCGCCTCACACACATCTGTCAGCACATAATTTTTTAGTATTTGGGACTGAGGAATTTTCATTTGAATCCTTTTTGATGGTAAAAAGCCCATTTTAAAAATCATTTTTTTCCAAGGGAATATTTAAATTTCCCCCTCAAATTTTCATTTTCTATCTGGAAAATCAAAAATGACAGCTTCCCAGAAGATGACTTGCCTGCATGGTTCTCCTCAATTTCACTTTCTACCTGCAAGATGGATAGCTGGAAGTTGAGCATCACAACTCTCAGGAGGTCACTGACATGTTAAAAAGAAATCATGATGGGATGTAATACACGATCCAAACAATTGTGCTTCCTACTATGTCACATGTGCATAGCAGGAGGCATGATTGTGGGATCTAGCATCAGATCCCATTATGCCATATTGCCAGTGTAGGAGGAGCCCAGGATTATGGCCCTAGGTTCCCCTTGCACCAATTAATCATATCTTAAGTGCAAGATGTGTCAAGGGCATTTGACTCCTCACTTGCTCCTACCAACTCTAGTTGTTGCAGAGACATAAATCTGTGGGCTACGAAGAGGAAGTAAAAATATTCAGTCCCACAGCCATGCAGGAACTGAGATGTGGGTGCAAATATCAGCATTCCAGATAATTCTTGTGATCAAAAAAATTAAGCCTAATTTATTCTTGCAGGAAATTGTGTTCTTTATCTCTTTGATCACCATTTCCTCCTCTTCCACAAATGCTGTCTTTTTAGGTTATCCTTAAAATAGTCACTCAATTTTGACTTCAACTGTGGTTGTGTTCAGAAAATGGACTGTGTAAAAATGGTACCTACTTGTTCAGCAAATATCCTGTATCTGTAATAAAGTATGCCTTCAAGTCCTTTTGTGGTCCTGAGTGCTTAGTTCAGAAATGAACTCATAGTGCTTTGTGGTTTGCTCCAATGAAGTCAGTAGGCTCTTTGCATGGTTGAAATGGTCTGTTATTGATTTCTTAGGTAAAAATATAGAAACAAATACCTAACCTAACAAAAGTAAAGCTACCAAGAAGAAGGAATTCAAATTGCTGAACTGCACTAGTAGCTTTCAGTTCTGCATACAGCACCATCCTCTGGGAAGAAATAGGAACAAGAAGTACCAAAGTTTATTACAGTATTGCCAAACCTAATGCTTTCCTCACCTGATTCATCTGAAGGTAATAGGGAATGTACATAGTTGCACTGTGATGCATCTCCTACCACCATCTGGTGGAATTTAACTATAATTGCAGCATCCATCTCATCTGAATTACTGTTTAGCCCAAGGCATCATCAAGTTAGATAGCTGTACTAGCCCTTGACTCTCAGAAATGTAACACTGAAGGTATGCAGCCTGGATGGCAGCAGAGACTGGCCAGGCTGCAACAGTGGTTGCTTATTGTATTACTGCACATCCACTTTATCTTTTTCCTTCTTTAGTTTCTCCCTTCTAGATGTGTAGACAATTACTACTGACTATTATGAGTAATAGATGACAAGTAAGATGAGAGAAGCCATTTTACCTAACCTGGCCTGATCTCATGGAATGTTATACATGTAACTAATCCTATAAAAGATGCTTAGTATTCTTCAGTATACCACCCCCAACCCCCCCCCCCCGAAAAAAAAAAAAAAAAAAGGGCATCAGGACAAATATTCTTGCATAGATGTACATATAAACACACATACTCTATTTTTAGTATTTATCTTTTAGTATTTTCTTCCTTCTTCTGGAAGAGTTAACAGTATTCATTTTCCAAAGTCCATGTGAATTTCATATTCTTCTAAGCTGTGCTCTGATACTGACATGCACATCTACATTAGTGAACAAATCCAGCTCCCATTGTAGCCCTCAGTCTTGACTCTTGTCTTTATAGGAACTAGTCTGGACAGTGTCTCTCTTTTTTTAATCCTATGTTCAATTCTAGCTACAGTAATGTAGAGGCATGAATGGCACGTACCCCCAGTGGCTGGAGGGGCACAGCTGCACCGGTGGTGGCGGGAGTATGGCAGCAGCGGGAGCCCAGCAGTGGTGAACGGGGAGCTCCCTCAGACTCTGCTGGCACTGTTGGAAGCGGGGGGGTGAGGGGGTGGTGGTGAGCGCTGATCATGGGTTGGCGACCACCTAGCAGTGGTCAGGGGCAATTATGGACTGCCCACAGACACCACCGGAGGTGCCAGCAGTGGGGTGGTGAACGATGACCACCTGCAGGCGCTGCTGACAGTGTCAGTGGTGCCTTTTTGCAGGGGGTGCACCACCACACGCAGAAGGTGCATGTGTACCAGTGTGCACCCCCTATGTATCGCCCCTGCATAGAGATGTCTCCATATCTGTGCTAGACTCACTTGTTTATCAGTTATATCTTAGCCTTCATTACCTTTCACAGGGGCTGATCCTGCCAGATGCTGAGTACTTCACAGGAGATACTAGTGCGCTTGTTTCCCATCTTCTTTAAAAGGAACTTACCTTATCTCAGGGGAAGGGCTTGATTCCTTGCAAAAATCGACCATATCATGTATGTATTTCATTAATATGTCCTTCCTTCTTTTCCCTAGCCCATTTGCCAGGCAGCTTATAATAATGACTTCAATGAAGTTCAGCTGCTGTTGCAAGAGGATAGCAATTATTTGAACATTCAGGACAGCTTTGGCGGAGACACACCCCTAATCTGTGCCTGCAAACAGGGACACAATAGAATAGTCAGTTATCTTTTGAAAAGAAACGCTGACATCAACCTCAAAAATAAGGTGAGTAACAAAAAAGTATTTTAAAAAAACAGCCTTGCGATATTTTCTTTATAATGATGAACTTTAGGAACAATATGTAGGGCGGAAAATCTTAGCAGTATTGCCAAAGTCAAAGGTTAAACACACATGTGCATCACATTCAAAACACCTGATGAAATTAGCCATAAAATCATGAGGTAATTAAAGTAAATTGAAGTTTTTGGCTTTATTTTGAATGTCCCTGCCACACCCCGTCCTGCCCCATCCTACCCCACCATATACCTGACAATTAGCATTGTCAATTTATAATGAGAAAGGTCACACCTGATATCAATAAATGTTGATCAACTCTGCCTACCCAGCCACACAGCAGCTCTGCACTCACCCAGGTCTGAATTTTATTATGTTCCTGAAGCTTTCTTTATATGTTCTTCACTGTACCCTCCCAAGCCTGAAAGAGAAAGGTCTAAGACATCATGTCTCTTACACCCATCTGGCCAACTTCTAACACTTCTCAGATGTCCCTGAGTGACAGTGGGGCAGACTAACCTCTTTTACACACACAAAAAAAATGCAGCCACCTTGAGCTGCTGGGTATTTTCTGCTCTTCTTTCTTCTGCAGTAGCCGTGGTTGATTCCTGGGGGGATAAAGGAAATGGAGAATGTAACCAACTAGAGTGAAGTCCAAAAACTAACACAAAGGTTGGAAGATTTTGCTTCTTTACAGCTCTAGCTCTAGCAGGGGTTAAAATACAGATTCACAGGGATAAGCAAGGGATTCTAAGGATCATCTAGAACAGGGGTAAGCAACGTTTTTTGGCCGGAGTGCTGAAAAAAACAATGTCTACCTTGGAAGGTGCCAGAGTGCCGATATGCCAGAGCCCAGAGCAGCTGTTTGCAGCCTCTTGGCTGCAGCCGGCCCACAGAGCCCGATTTGCTTGCAGCAGGGCTTGCAGCCTCCCAATCATCTGCTGGGAGCAGCCTGGGCTCCGTGACGGGCAGCAGCTGCTTAGAGCCTGGGCTGGCAGTGGCGTGCCAAGCAAAATGGCGTTGCATGCCAGGGGTTGCTGATCCCTGATCTAAACCAACCCCCCACAGAAGTTCAGGATTTGTTGTTCCTATACCCAGAGGCAACCTGAGCAGGGTGCAGGGCCCAGGGGCAAATCAGCCTGTGTGGGGCCCTGCCCCCGGGTGCAAAGAAGCTGGCGGTGGATTTGGGGCTGGGGGGGAGGGGTGCCGAGTGGCTGGAGGCAGTGTATTTGGCAGCTGGGGGGTGGAGAGGGTGCCGAGCGGCCAGATGTGAAGCCAGCGGCAGTGCGGCCTGGCTCCACGGAGCCCACAAAGCATGGGGCCTGGGGTGGTCACCCTGATTCAAGGCCCCCTAGGGATGGCCCTGCCTGTACCATCCCATTCAGCCTCCACAACTGCCCTAGGCCACCTGTGTCATTGTCTAATTGCTGGCAACTCCATGTTTGCTTCCTAACATACTTTCCTCAGTACTATATTTAAGGTTCTCACATGCTATTTCACTGTGTACTGTGCACTCCTAGAAAAATATTTACCATTTTATTTTCTCATTTCCAAGTGTGCTTCTCTGGCCAATGTTAGATGTGCCTCAGATGTATGGAGCCCATTCATTTGACTCCACCATTCTGCCTTTTGCTATAAAGATATGCAGTTTACATTGAATTAACTTTGAAAAGGAGAATCCCTCGCAGTATTCATAGATTTCATAGACATTAAGGGCCGGAAGGTACCTCATGAGATCATCAAGTCCAGCCCCCCTGCTGAAGGCAGGAAATTGCAAATTAAGAACTTTTCCTGAATTGTTAGGAATCAGCAAGAGAGTCAGGCTGGTAGGAGCACTTACAGAAGCAGTTAAAACTGAAATTGCTGCACTGGTGAGGGGAGAGAGTAACAGTTAGTCCAATAAAGGCTCCGGACGCAGAACTGTGCAGAGACCTTCCACTGGGGGATATGCCATCTCCGCCTACCCTGTAGTCATGTAACCTTGGGGAAAGAAATCACAGTGAGGACCCAAAACTTCCAATTGGTAGAAAGAGCTGGAACACTAATGATATCAGATCATTTCCTAGCTTTGATTAAAATTTTTCTGCTCTCTGGTAATTGGTTGTTTGTTTCAACCCCTCCTGCCTCCTCCTTTACAGTCCTTTCACCTCAGCTTCACTCCACATTTACCCTTTGTTTGTCCCTTCTCCCTGCCCCTTCTCTTTATTCTTCTTTCTTTTTATCTGCTTCAATTTAGCTCATACCCTCCAAACTGTCTCCTTTCCAGCAAGGTGTAGAATTTAACATGGCATTTACTGCCATCGTATTGTTTATTGGTTAATAGTATCCATTCTTCCCACCCTATGTCTGCCCTTACCCTTTAAAAAAAAGTTTTAGGGCAGGCAGTTTGGGCATTTTACATGGTTTAACGCTCGTTGCATGATCCCTAGTCACTACTGCAGGTACCACAACTATTGTTAACTGTGGTTACAAGCAAGAGGTCCCATCACTGCAACTGAAAGTCACATAACAGCCTCATAGCCTGACCTGGGGTGTGGAGAAGGCTTTCCCTTTGGCACTCTACCTGAATAGAATGGATTTCATCCATGGCCTAGAGATTTGTGGGAGTCCAGGGTTACAGCTGAACATTTGGAGCTGCTGACTGAGCATTTGCGGAAGTGGGCCATTTCACCCACCAGAAGTATTTCACCAGCATAGTGTAAAATACATGAATGCAGTTAGTACTCTGATGGTGGGACCATGAAAGACATGCAAGGGTCTGCTGTAGCCTCCAAGCTGATAGATCTGCCCTTAGGCTCTGTCTACACTCCCTTGTAAGCAAGATGGGGCATATCACTGGTGAATCAGTGCTTCATACTCGATAACCCTGCCATGATCACCCTGGCCATAAGTATTTATAGAAGAACTGGGCTCAGACTTTCACATGTTGTGTGTTGAGGGCTGCACTGAGTTGTATATTCTACAAACCTATGGGCCTGGGTGCTCATGAAGGGGTCATAAGTGAGCAGGGTATACCCAGTTTCACTCAGGAGGAGGCACAGATATACCCTCAAGGTATTAATACTTTGGAGATCCAGAGGTGCTAATTTCAGCACCTATTTACTATTCAGCTAGAGTTTTTGCTACACTTACCTAGCATACAGAACAGTGAATGATTTAGGTTGTAGAAATGACCAAAAGAGTCTAATGACAAAGATCCAAAGGCTCTAACACATTAAAATGGTGTTGTAGGGACCAGTATTACTATCCTGGCCCCAGACTAGAACAATCGCTACATGGAAAGTAAACTGAATCCCAGTTTATCTGAATCACAAGTCAAAAAAGGGTTCCCCCTATCATGCTCCACACACATGAAGAGCCGTTACCACGGCTTTGGGCAACTAAATATATTTCATTCTGAATTAAGCAAACTGCATGAATCTGTTTCAATATGAATAGAAGGAAAATGTTCCAAACAGATGACCAGTCAGGAAATATATGAAATATACAAAATGAATTACTTTGTACCTGATCCTGAAAAAAGGTTTCTTTTCTCTTTAGAAACAGCGTACTTGCTTACATTATGCTGTGAAAAAACGATTTAATTTCCTTGACTACCTGCTCATCATCATCCTAATGCCTGTTTTACTCATTGGATATCTCCTCATGGTAAGAACAGCTTAAAACTAGAAACAAGCCTGTATACTAACCTTTCCAACTATAAATATAACAAATACAACCATCTTAGTTCAGGTGGGACATTCTTCTTTTGGTTCAAGGCTATGAACATAAACAAAACAAATATGGGTTGCTATTTTCAAAGTAAGGACTGAGTAAAAAATATGAAATGAATAAGGCCCTTTTGATTTGTCTCTACCTGAGTATAACTGATCCAAGTTTAAGGTAGCAAAGTTGCACCATTAACTGCATGAAGAAGGCCTTTGAATAGAACTATCTGAGCCAGCTCAGATCTAGCTAGCAGAGTCGTACATGAATTAACTTTCCAACCAGTGTTGAATTCTTCTTCATGTGTTAAACAGGTGTCAAAGAGTAAGCAGAATGAAAACCTAATCAAGATGTTACTCAAAGCTGATGTAGATGTTAATGCTACAGATTATGTAAGTGATTTTATACAAATATAGAGGTCATTAATGTGGTGTATGTGACTTTAATTTACTTAGATTAGGATAGCAAAGCTTCAGAAGCTGCTAGAAATAAAGTCATATTTATCATATAAGATGAACCAGTGAACGGTTGTTTTGACATATCTAACTTATCTGGCAAAGTAATTGAGTATTGTCTCTGATTGAAATCTGGCAATGTACAGAAAATGTTTTTCCCCATTGTCAGTTCATCTCATCTGTTGTTCAACTTAATTATAAAATCATAAGGTTGGAAGGGATGTCAAGGCTGAATCTCCTGCATGAATGTGGGAATTCTATTCCTAAATCATCCATGACCAAACTTTATCCAAATGCTTTATGAAAACTGCAGATGAAGGAAGTACTACAACTTCCCTGGGCAGTCTGTTTCATTTCATCACTGTTCTAACAGCAAGGAAATCCTTCCCAATATCTAATCTGAATCTACTTTGCTGCAATTTGAAATACTTCCTTTAAGTCCTTCTTTCTGCTAGAAGGGAAAGGAATTGTCCTCCTCCTTTTTATGGCAGCCTTTCAACTATGTGAAAGCTGATATCATATCCTTCCCCCCACCCCTCTCTTAATCTCCTTTTCTGCAGTCTAAACATACCTAGTTAACTCAATCTTTCCATGCATGGCTTGTCTTTCAATCTGTCTCCTTTTATGTCATCAGTCTCTGCTCTCTCTCCAACTTCTCCACAGCCTTATTAAAAAGAAGAGCCCAGAACTACACACAGTACTCTAGATGAGGCCAAACCAGCACCAAGCAGAATGGCACTAACACTTCTTGTTCCATTGATGCAACCCAAAATTGCATTTGCTTTTTTGCAATTGTGTCACGTTGCTGATTCATGTTGAGTCTGTGATCCATTAAAACCCATGAGATGATTCTCAGTAATACTGCCATGCAGTCAGTTATCTTCTATTCTGTATTTGTGCTTTTGATTACTCTGCAGTAGATGTGGCATGTTCATTTGTCCACACTGAGTTTAATTCTGCTATCTCTAGCCAGCTTTCCAAGCTATCAAGATCCTTCTGAATTCTTCTCCTATCCTTCAGTGTGTTAGCAGTCTTTCCTTGGATTATTTTTCTTGCTTCAATAACAATCAGAATTTTTGATATGCACCTCTTGTTCTGGAGTGTTATATATGGTGAGGTGCTTTTAAAAAAATTACTGCTGTGTCTTAAGCAGGTTCTGCATAACAGTGAGGAGTGAAGCCTGGGGTTGTAGGTTTATATTTTGTGGGTTAGAGCAACAAACAATCCAAACAGTCTTGTCTTCCCTTCACAGTAAGTACCTTTTCCCCTACATCACACATATTTAAGTATCTTTTTTCCCCTCCCAAGATGTACATAAAACAGGTTCCTGCCCATAGTACCATTAAGGGTTGGATTGGTAAAGCCATAGATCAGTGCACAGATCAGGGCTGTCAAACTCACACTGTGTCTCTGGCCAGATCCATACCACAGGGCTCCTTACAGACCAGATATAGTCTGGGGCATGAGGTACTGGTGGCAGTAACTACTAGTGGCATAACTAGGACAACAACCCTAGGCACCAACTTGAGGGAGGGGCATAAAAGAAAGGGCTGCCACTAGCAGCTGCATGTTCATACTGGAGCCATGGCTGCAACTGTAAGTCACCACAGTCCCTGTTTCCCAAGTGCCTGTCTGCATCATTTTGTCATTGGCAGTCACCACCAACATGGCAGTGGGGCAAGGGGCTGCAGGCCCCTTGCCATAGTGATGGGAGTGCATGTGGTGGCAGGCCAAGCAGCTGCAGGGCAAGCATAGTCTATCTTGGTACAGCCTTCACTCACCCCCTGTTGCTGATTTGCAAGTCCACCAGGGCCATAGGACCCTGGATGCTGTAGCAGACCAGGCCCATTATTAGCCACATTCCAAAATCCCTGGTCCACCTATAGCTTGATGGGCTGGACAGAGTGGCTCCATGGGCCAGATCCAGCCTAGGGACTATATGTTTAACCAGGGGCAGATCCAGGGGGGCTGCAATGGTGCAGTTGCGCCCCTCCCCCTTCCCCCCATCTTTGATTCCTGTGCCACCCAAACTTTAAAACCAACTGATTGGGAGGGGCAGTGGCCTTTCTATTCAGGCAGTGCTGAGAGAGTCAATTAACTTCACGACTCATTATCTACTCCCTGATTCCTGCTACTGTCTCTCCACTCTATAAGTGTTAATGATCCATTCTCATTTTAAGGGTCTCCATGTTCCACTAATTAAACTATCCTTTCCTCTGCTAATTTTGCTGTTTGCTAGTCATTCCTGGTAATGTGTCTCTTCAGTTCCACAGTCCTGCAGATTGTTTAAACTAGAAATATTAACTCAGGTGAATTAATATTAACTCAGATGCAGAAATGACTGACAGTGAAGTATTGGGTGCATTCTCTAGATACCCACTCTGAATAAGTACATTTAACTATAATAACTACGGGACTAATGCCACTATATCTTTGGACTATTTTGACCACTTTTTGCCTAGTTTGTTGTGTTTTTTAAGCTTAAAATATTATCTAGAAAATTAATGCACATTGCAAAGAAGTTATATTTGTTTTCACTTTGATCTTAGACTGAATCATACAGTACTAGACCCCTGGTATATTATTAAAGCTTCTAGTTTCTCTTTAACTGGGAAAAAAATGTGTGTTGTGTTATATGTGATGATGTGTCACACCATCTGCATCCCTCATTTCAAAATCCTAGAACCACCCATGTGTTTGACACCTCTAGTGTAGGTCTATTTTTCCATGCAGAGAATGATACAAGAAACATATATGTGGATTCTGCTTCCTTTCAGTCTGGTAGCACTGCCCTTCACTATGCCTGTGAAATGAAAAATCAGTCACTTGTTCCCTTACTACTTGAAGCCCATGCAGACCCTTCAATAAAGAATCAGGTAAGCAGAAGAAGCTGATAGTAGCTATGACTGGTTCCCTGCTGACCTTCTGTAAACAGGAGAGTAAGCAGAGGAGACTGCAGAGTACACTGTTTTCTAGGAACAGATTTACTTGTTGTGGAGGACAAAATAAATTTGCCCCATGGCCTTCTCTAGGGGAGAACAGTTTAAGCCCCAAATAAGGCAAATGCAGGCTGCCCAGGGAACACACTGAATCAATTTATCTAACTGTCTTGGCCAAGCCCCTTCCCAAACTAGCACTCACTTCCCATTTCTGGAGTAAGAGGCCACCTGCCGGGGTCCTGGTAACATTTCTCCTTTCATTAGGCATTGTTTCCTCTCAATCACTGCATGTCAGCCAAGAGGAACAATCAAATGTATTTCAGTAAGAGTTCAAAGGGCCCAGACTCACTGAGTTCAGTGGGAGCAGGATAAGACCAAATTCATTATGGCAGTCCAGTAGGTGCTTGCTGTGGATCCAACAATAAAATCCATTTAGAGGACTTTGAATCTATCTGATTTCTCCTTTGAAGCCTGTGGCCAAGTGCCTGCTTTCATGAGCATTATATCATGGTGCATTTTGTTGATATCTTTCAGGATGGAGAGACACCACTGGATATAGCAAGAAGGTTAAAGTTCACCAACATTGAGTGCATGTTAAAGAAGGCATCTTAGCCTTGAATAGGATGGTATCAAGGTTGTTAGGCATTCAAAAATTACTTATTTTGGCAGTCCTTATTATGCCATACCAAGCCTGCAAAGCAGGATGTTTTAAGATAATGATGTTTATCGGAGACATGTATTATATCTATTGGTTGCAGTCAAGTACACATGTGGCTGTGTGTTTTGCCATGTCTAGAAGGAGTTAGCTTATTTTCATTCCATTTCGACAGAAAAGTGAATTTACCCCAATGTTTATTGCTTTATTTATACTATCATGGAATTAAAAAAGGTATCTATGTTCATTTTTTGAAATGTAATGTCTGTAGATGTCATTATTCACATTATATTTCAAAATAAAAGTATATTTGAAAGTTATATTTCAGAGCATTTGATTTTTAACATTTTACCAAATATAATTAACCAAAAACCAGCTGCCATGGGAGGTAACAAATACAGAATGTTTTCAGCTTTTCACTTGAAATTGTTAATGGTTAATGATGGACCTTTGGGGCCTGATTCCACATGGAGTTCTTGGGGAATTTTCATTCTCACACCTTTTGTTTTCTTGTTTATCTGTTGTTTGGTTTGAGTGAAGGTAAAACAGACAAACCAAAATCAAATCCTTCCAAACTAATCAATAAAGAGCCAGACTCTTCCCTGGGTTATACTTGGTGCAGAAGTAGAGATCTTGAGGAGCTGGTTATAGCTCCTCAGTTCTTAGGACCAGGTCAGTGCCACCAATAATGCTTACAGCTATTACAGGGGATTTCCAAATTGACCATTGGCAAAGGGCCCCTACAATGATGGAAGATTGCTGTAGAAAAGCAGAATTCTTTCATATCCCTCCATTTCCTGACATACCCATCTATCTGTAGGAGGTGGAGGGACTGACTTCCGCATGGATAAACTAAAATACATTTTACATCTAAAAGAGGATTTTGGGCTGCATTATGGCCCATTTACTACTGCTCATCAATGCAGAGAAAGTGAACCTGTAAGTGAATTCTAAATCAAAGGCTCTATCCTATCCTATTTAAGTCAATGGCAAAGATCCCATTGGGCTTCTATGTGTCTGAGGATCAGACCAGAAACATTTATATCATGTGCTTGGTTTGTTTGATATTCACTTCAGAGAAAGTCTTGAAAAATGAGGTGGGAGTGAGAAAGCAAAACAGGAATTAGAGCTGCCATTCTTGGAGAGCAGAATGGAGGATGTGACACAAGACAAAAACTAAAGAATATATGATAGGCAAGCCTAGCCATCCTGATTTTAGACTGGCCCTAAATTAGAGACACCAACAGATCAATGTATGATTCTATATTTATTAGTCTTAAACTGCTGATAGTAATAGGGTATGGGAAGTACAAGCAAAGCATTTCTATGAATATGCATCCATTATTCATTAAATTCCTTGATTTAGTGATAAAATAACAACAACAATAGTAATAAAATTTCCACATAATGTTAAATCAACAGGACATATTTAAGAGAGCAGTCCTGTAGATGATCACAGTTAATTTTATTTAGTGTCATAAACCCACTGAAAGAACCGCAAATGTCAATAGAAAATAAGAAAATAAAAACATTACAGAGGAGGACTGAAAAAGGAGCCAAGTACCTCACTTACAGATGAGCACCAAAGCTTACCTAAAGGTATGGTGCTGATTACAGGAAGACACATAAGGTGGTTCCGTTAAGCTCAAATGCTGGACTGTGTAGTTAGTGCAGGATGCTGAATATTTGTATATTACAGACGCTTGTCAAATTAAGTTGTTTGATTTTTTAGTTCAACTTTTACAACAATGTGGACTGGATGTAAAAAATAATACATATTTGGAAAGCTAAAATAAGCCTTTCAATATGCCTTAGTAGTATTTAACATTTAGGTAGGTCTATTCATCTTCAAAGTGTTTCACAAATGTTAGCTATATTCCCATGTTAGCTATATTCCCCATGAGGCAGATAATTTATTATTCCCATTTTGCAAACAGGAAGCTTGAGGAAGATAGGTAGAAAGTACGGCTGTGCCAACTGTTTCATTTGGAAGCTGCTTTGATGTGTTTTGAGCTCAAAACAGTGAAATTGAAATGAAACAAAAAGCATCGAAACAGCTTCAAAATGAAATGAGGGCACTCAAAATGTTTTGAAAGTTTTGAAACATTTTGAGTTTTGAAGAAGCGAGGTTGGAGGCAGAGGAGAGCCAGGGCTGTGCTCTGAGCAGCTCTGCAGCCCCATGTAGCTCAGCCTGGCAGGGAGTGTAGCCCTGACACTACCAGCCTCCCACCTCCGGGCTGTGCTTCATGGGCCTGGCAGAGCCGATCGGAGGGCAGTGCCAGCACCTCCTGCCTCCCCCTGGATCTGCACCCTGGATGAGAAGAGGCTCAGGCTGCCCCTCCCACCTGGGACTGTTGCTGGGCATGGGCTGCACCCAGGACCAGACAAGATTGCTGCTTCTTCAGCCTGAGCCTTCTCTCATCCAGGGTGCAGATCTGGGGGCTTGCACCCCGAGGAGGGATGCTGGGCTGTGCCAGACTCCTCCCAGGAGTGTAAGCCCCTAGATCTGCATGCTGGATGAGAGGAAGCTGTTGCTGCTGCCTGGGACAGGTGGCAGCAGCAATTTTCTCCAGTGCTGGGCACAGCCCACGCCCAGCACCAGTCTCAGGTGACAGGGAAGCCTCCTCTCATCTGGGGCGCAGATCGAGGATCCACACCCCCAGGAGTCTGGCACAGCCCTGCAGCCCTTCCGGGCATGTGGGCCCCTGGATCTGTGCCTGATTGACAGGAGGCTGTCTCTGCTGCCTAGGGCCAGCGACAGCATTAGTCTTCCCCGGTGCTGGGTGTGGGCTGTGCCTGGCACCGGTCCCAGGTGGCAGTGGAAGCCTCATGTCATCCAGCACAGACCCGAGGGCCCGCACCCCCAGGGGGAGTTCTGCACAGCCCCGCAGCCCTCCCGGGGGTACAAGCCCCTGGGGATATGGGTGCTGGATATCAGGAGGCTGCTGGGAAATTTTGCTTTCAAGACTTTGAGGTGCAGTTTCTGAAACATCTCTTCACTTATCTCCTTGAAACTTGGCAGACTTCATGACTTCAGAAGGGGTTATGATCCCTATAATTTGCATCCAAATCAGGCAACAAATGACAACAGTTTAGGCATTTTCATGATTCCCCATTATAGCCTATGGGGAAAATGTCGAAATGAGTCGAAACAGTGAAACAGTTTCAGTGAAACAAAATGGGACAGTGCTTCAGAATGAAAAGAAACAATGAAATGAAGCACTGTCCCTTCAAAATGGTGAAACAGACATTGAAATGAAACAATGGTATTTCGCACAGCCCTACTGCCTATGAGTATCGATAGGATGAAAAATATGGTATAGCGACACATGCATGAAGAAAAATCCAAATGGATCACAGTAAATCCTTTTCCTGATCCTCTGAGTACACATGCTTTTAAGAAAAAAACAATACCAAAACTGATCACCCATTGCCAACACGAAGCAAACAAGCCCCAGGAGGTCAAATCATACCATTTCAAGCCCTGCTCTATGGCTTTAGGGATGCTTTTTCATCATCTGAATGATTTACACGTACAAATGATTCAATACATCAAGACCCCAGATTAAATCTATACGGTTCCATTCAGGAACATGCTCATAGAAAATGAGATTAGGTAATTGAGGGAGTAATAGCGCAAATTCCTTTGGGTCAGCCAGGAGGTCACATCCACCACTCTGAACAGCAATTGGCATGTTAATGTTTTCTATGTGGTGTGCTGGAGGAGGAGTCTGAAAAAGCGGGGAATAGACTAGGAATGAAAACCTGTAAACTGTAGACATTGTGCAACAGATTCTGAAGTGAAAAAGTCTATTTTCTTCTTTTCCTAATCCACAAAAATAAAACAGTAAGCATCAAATTTGATCACTTAATTCTGCCTCAGTCTTTTCTGATGAAGTGAGCTTCAGCCCATGAAAGCTTGTGCTATGAACTGTACTTATTCAACTTTAAGATGAGGTTTCTTTTCCCAATTCATCATGTGAAACAAAGTCTTGTCTTGGGAGCTGTAAGAAATGGAGAGAGCCCAAATAGGGTAGGGGCAGCATCAGCAGCAAACTGCAGATTTCTCCATCACTGATCTGCTCCTTTTCTCCACTCCCCCTTCCCCTGTCTCCCCATGGAAGGGGGAGGGGGGATGAGAGCAGAGCAGGGAAGGAGTGCTGCTGGTGCCCAGGTCAGTTGGGAAAGCAGCAAGAGGAGGTAAATGGTGGGGTAGTAGTCACCAGAGGGGAAAGAGATAAGGGGCAGGATGTCTCTCCCCCACCCCTGCTTTCCCCACTGCTTCTCCCCACTTCTACTTCCACCTCCCAACCACCCCCTCACTTCTGCTTTTCCAATTGCCAGCCACTTTGCTGCTGTTTTTCTGCTGCAGCTGGGTGGGATGGTAAATTTAAGATGACCTCACAATAATTACATTCTAGACGTGGAAAATTATAACAAATTTATAATTTTCCATGTCTAGAATGTAATTATTGGGTGTATGTCTTAAATTCAAAGTCCCTCTCTGTCTCTGTCTGTCTCTGTCTGTCTGTCTCTCTCTACATACACACACTTTGGTTAGTCTATATGGTGAAAATCTACCCTGCTTTTAATCTTCTCTGCCACTATTGGTAACAATTCTTCCTCTTTCTGGTCATTTGTATGGCATATGAATAACAATTGTCCCATAATTTGACAGCTGGTTTGGGAGGAACTCTTAACAATTATAATTATTCATTTCTAAAGACTAGCATTGGCGCTTATAATTTGGTGGTTATGGCATTTTGGTCCATGTTACAAATTTTGCACAAACACACACACTTTCAACATTGTCAGGTGCCTTAGCTTTCCATTCAGATTTCCTGACTGATAGGCACAGAGTAAACTGAAGTTCGTTTTATTTCTTATGCTCCATATGCTCATAGACCACACCTTTCTGAGCTTCCTCAACTGGCATTTGAAATAGGATTTTTAAACTATTGGAGGGATTCATTTAATTAGGTTTTTTTGTAGTACCTACCCAATGGCATCTCAGAAACCTTGATGAATCTATCTACACAGCACTCTTAAGTATTAATATTATTATTAGGCTCAATTTACCACTGGGAACTATGGTAGACAAACATATTAAATGTCCGCTTACAGTGATAGGAGAAAGATGTGACAGAGCAAGGAACAGAACCTGAGTTTCTTCAGTCCAAGGCCAAGACCTTCTGCATAAGCCTGTCATTGGGTTCTATCATTTTAAGATCCAGCATACACAGCTCTTTTAAATTGACTCTATAACACAAGGGGTGGCAACTTAATTTTTTTTTAAATTACATCGGAAAGT